AAGGACTAAGAGCTGGTGGCCAGGAGCAGACTTGCAGAATGTGCCCTTTGGACATGTAAATTATTATATATGCCTGAGTGGGTATTTTTGTTTGTGTGTTTTTTAAAAAGCTAAAGTGGATAGAGAGAAATACTTTTAACTGATGGTATATGGAGGAGATTATAATCAATGTAATGAAACAAGTTATATGAATAGTTGAATGTGAAACTAATGATGTGCCCTGTAAACTTTCACTCAATCCACAACAAAAACTTTAAATTTAAAAAAAAAAAAAGGAAAAGGTAATAAGTCGAAAAACATTGCTACAAGAGGATAGCAACCTTTATCCCAAAGAATCAAAATGTGAAGCTGCTGACATATCCTCCCCTCCATCTAGGTCTATGTGCGACTGAAGGCAGTGTTTCCATCTCTTTAACCCTTGAGTGTGGTGGCTATGTAGGATGAGCCCTGGACTTCAAACTACAAGGTCAGGGATTCAAGTCCACCAGCCACCGCTTGGGAGAAAAATAAAGCTTTCTGCTCCTGCAAAGACTGACAGCCTTGGAAACGCTCTACAGAATCCTCAGAACTGACTCAATGGCATTTAACAACAATCGGACTTCCCTAAAGAATTCTGTGCTTTCAGATTTACACCACATCCTAACGGTAGTTTTGGCATCCTCCAGAGACTCAAATTGTGTTCTTTGAGTTTGGGAAGCAAAAAGAAGTCTGAAAAGGTAAAATCAGGGCTGCAGGGTAGATAAGGGGAAGTTACCCAATGAAATACCCATAGGACAGTCCTTGCTATCCTCCAAGGATGAGCAGGGGCGTTGCCATGATGGAAAACAATTCCTCAGAGCAACATTCAGGCCTTTTTCTCACCAACGCAGTTTGATATTTTCTTAAAACTTCTTCCTAGGAAGCCACCATGATCTTCCTGTGTCCTTCAAGAAAATCTACCAAGAGAACCCCTTTGGAATCCCACTCCCCCACCACCACAACCCCACAAAAGTCACCATAACCTTCAGATCTGACTTGAATTGAACTGGCCCAGTAGATGTCCTTGGAAGCCACTGTTTTGATTGAACAGGACTAAACAAGTGTGTTGCTGAGAGAACTTGTCTGCAGGCATCAGTGATGTGAGAGACACACTGAAATGCTTTGTTTGGAATGAACCTGTGCATTTATGAACTGGAACCATAGCAGCTATACTTTTTTACTTACCCATGTACATATACACATATACAAAATAAACAGCTCACTGGAATGAGCCAGTATTAGTCTTAGGCACGGTATTGTTAAGTGCCATCAAGTTGGTTCTGTATAGGGTTTCTAAGGAGCGGTTGGTGGGTTTGAATTGCCAACCTTACCATTAGCAGTCCAGTGCTTATCTAACAGTGCCACCTTATATATATTCTGTCATCTAATCTTTGCAACTGCTTCCCCTTTGAGGGAAGTACTAGTATCCAGATTTTATTGGCAAATAGACTCCGAGAGATTAAGCAACTTGTCCAAGATCACACAACACAACCACTTACTGAAGATGAAGAAATAAAGGCGAAGCAAGGTGAAGTGACTGCCCTGGGGTCCCTGAGGCCCAGTGCACCACAGGTATGAAGTGCAACTGAAGGTGGGATTTGAGGGCAGAGGGGCACAGAGCCTCACTCACCACATTCCACCAGGAACTGCTCAGCACTAGGGTGCTGTGCTAGAGAACACAAGCCTTGGATCCAGCCGCTGCGTACCGAGGGGACATTCCAGGTCAGCAGGCCAAGGGGGCCCGCCTCCCCAAAGAGTCTGAGCATCAACTCTTCCTGCTGGAGCAAAGAACAAAGGCAGCATGGTCATTTCCTGGGGATACAGGGCCAATCCAAGGTTATTGCTTATTTTGCTAAATCCTTTTTCTATGCTGTTGGATTCAGTTTACTGGTACTTTGCTAAGGATCTCTATATTAATATCCATACAGAATATATGTCTGTAGGTTTCTTTTCTCGGGATATCTTTATCTAACTTTGGGATCAAGGTCATGCTAGCTGGCTTCCTAAAATGGCTTTGGAAGTAATCCTTCCACTATTTGTTGAAAGAATTTGAGAAGGATTGGTGTTTGTTCTTTAAATGTTTGGACAGGGTCATTAGTCCAGCCCTGGACTTTTCTTTGTTGGGAGGTTTTTGATTACTGATTTGGTCTCTTCACTTGGCACATGTCTGCTGAGAGTTTCTATTTCTTCTTGTGTCAGTTCAGATAGTTTGTGCGTTTCACCTAGACTACCTAGTTTGTTGGCGTACAGATTTTATCATAGAGAGGTTATTTTTTCTGAGCTGGAGGAGACATTTTCATGTAAGTTGCTGATAGAGAAGAAAGAACCCCTGAGCAGTGGTCTTTCTGTGAGTGGCAGACACTTCCCTAAGAGCCATAAGACTGCTAACTCTGCCTTCTAGAAGGGCTTTGGGAGAAGGAAACTGGATCCTAAATAAAGATCTATCCCTTCTGTCACAGTTCACTTAGAAACCCTCTCCCCAGAACCACCAGCAGTGTCCTAACCTTCAAAGGCACACCTGTGACCACAGCACTCTTCGTTTAAACCCCACCCATTGGTTCTCTGTAGCCTACTAAAGAGTCTGAAATCCAGGTATGACACGGGCCCACAGTTCCCTTTTCTACGTGTTCCTCACTCCTACTTGAATGGCGGTTCGAATCCAACCAGTGGCTCCATGGGAGAGAGACCTAGAGACCTGTTCCCATAAAGACTTAAAACACATACGAACAAAAGCAACAACAGAAAAGCAAATGCATTGCCTTCAACTCTACTGTGACTTGTAGCAACCTACGGGTCGGAGCCGAACTGCTGCACAGGATTTCCAAGGCTGCAATCTTTACGGGAACAGGCTGCCTTACCTCTTGCCTGTGGAAGGACGGCAATGCTATTCTATCATAGTGGTGGTGGTGCTTATGTGCCATGGAGTCAGTTCCGACTCATAGTGACCCTGCACAGGGGTTTCCGAGGCTGTAAATCTTTACAGAAGCAAAAAGCCTTGTCTCTCTCCTGTGGAATGGCTGGGAGTTTCGAACTGCTGACCTTGAGGTTATCAGCCCGATATATACTACCAGAGTGAGGTTGTTACCAGGAATTGACTCAGCGGTACCCAACAACAGTGTGTATCTCCCACCCCCCCAAGATTAGTCAGTCACACTCTCCGCCTGGTACTCTTCCCTGCCTCCCACCCCCCATCAAACTCTACACAACTCAGCTCCAGTTCCAACCCCTCCATGAGGCCAACTTTTCCACTTGGTAGAACCATGGAGACAGCACAGCTAGCCCCACTGCTGAGACTTTAGGATGGCACCTACAGACGCCTCACCTATCTGCAAGAGCAGAAGGGAGGGTCCTAATTGGGAGGTTCCAGGCTCACCTGAAGATACTGGAAGCAATTTTCCTGAGCGGCAAATATCCCTGCCAGGCGAAGTGAAAAGGAGACAACTCTGGAACTCAGGTCCTGGAACTTGAAGGCCTGGGACAGCAGCTCAACCAGGCAGGGGTTTTCCTGTAACAGCAGGAGGCTGGATTCTGGAAGACAGAAGTCAGCAGATCACAGATCCATTCCTGCTTATCACCTCCCAGACCGCCCTGCCTCTCAAGGGCTGAGGCTAAGCCACCCACCGGGAGCAAACATTTGCAACAAATGCAAGCAGAAAAGGATTTGTAACTTTAGTTCAATACAAGGTGGGGTGGCTAGAAAACCAACATCTCAATAAGTGGGGGCAGCGGGGGTTCCTTGGTACGATTCACAGCTCCCACATTCAGTTCCTGACCAATACGTCTAAGGCATAGCCACCACCTAACCATCAGTAGAGGCTTGTGTGTCCCTATCATGATGAACAGGCTTCGTCAGGGATTCCAGAGGGATTAGGAAGAAAGGTGTGGCAATCTATTTCTGAAAAGAAGCCAATGAAGGCTCTTCAGATCACAACATTCTGATTCCATTGTGTATGGGGATGCCATGAATAGCTGGGGGCCAGCTTGACCACAGCTAGCAACAAAAAATGAGAAAAGTTCAAGGGCTAGAAATATAATTGGTCAACAAAACGGAAACAATACCTCACTGACCGTGAAAGAGAAATGCAAGTTAAAACAAAAGGCCCTTTTTATGTATCAAATGGATATTTCTTCACTGATAATATGAGAAACTTTAAAAGGTTTGTGGAAAAATGGAATGAACACATACTGGAATTTTCCCACAGACTTCTCAGATTCCAGGCAAATAAATGCAATGGAATAGGGATTCTCTGCCAGCTCTATGTCCTAAATTTCTATATCCATCTATACTAACATTCAGACGTGTTGATGGGAGAAAAAGGCATTTTGAGGCAGAGAATGAGGGTGTTTTCCACTGGGAAACCATTGCTGAGAGAACTAGCCAAGCATGTGGTTCAGCGAGAAGCAAAGTGAATAGAGTGAAGAAGAGGGGCACAAGAAGTAAAGAAACCAACAGATACCTGGGTAGATCTTGGGTGGAGAGGTGGGGAGAGCACTGACTTAGAAATTAAAAAAATAATAATTTAAAATAAAATTTTAAAGTAATTTTTGAGATGGTTACAAAACACGATAGAATTAAACTACTAAGCAGTAGTAACATGGGGGATGCCAATATGGTGTTCTGCGATTCTTATGTTCCTGGGTGTAACGACAGCTAAGCACTCAGCTGCTAACCAAAAGATTAAAGGTTCATGTCTACCCAGAGGAGCCTCAGAAGAAAAGCCTGGTAATCTAATTCCCCCAAAAGCAGCCAATGAGAACCCTATGGAGCACAGTTTTACTCTGGCGCAGATGGGGTCACCATGATTTGGTGTCAGCTGTATGGAAATTGATCCTGGTAGCCTAAACTGAATGCAGAATGCTGAAGCAGAGAAACATGTCAAGTTCAAGCTCCTGAAGTAACGGGAAGACTCTGAGGAATGCTCTCACAGGAGCAGCTTTGTGTTCATAGTTCCATTTCTCCCCATACATCCCCACATCTCTGGAAAAACAGAGCCAGCAGCTCTCCTAGCCTCACCTGTTTCCGTTACTGTTTTAAACCAGTCCAAGAGTTTTTCTAAACAGGTATCATCTGTCACTGGCTGTCTGGGATCCGCCAGGACAGCACACAGAGCCGGGAGGAGCCGGGAGCATTCTGGGTCCATGACGTGGCTGGGGTTCCTGCAAAAGAATGGTGAGGGGCAGACCTGAGAACCTGCCCACCCTGGTTACAAGCAGTCCTGAGGCCAGCTCAAGTCTAGGATGAGGTTTCAGAAATGTTCCCTCAGACAGACAGATGGCTGAAGACAACAGCTCTGAGGACGGATACAACCTTTCAATGTGTGTTGTATATGAAGTGGTCAAAGGGGTCCTAGACGTTGGTGGACTGCTAACTACAACGTTGGAAGCTAAAACGCACTAGCCGCTCTACAGGACAAAGGATGAGGCTATCTGCTTTCATAAAACATTTTCATCAAGTTGATTCCAACTCATGATGTTCTATTTATGTGTCAATTTGATAGCAGTGGGTTTGGTTTGGAGTGGGTACAAGATAGTCAGTGGGTACAAGCATAGTGGTTAAAGCACTTGGATGCTAACTGAACAGTTGGAGGTTCCAACCCACCAGCCATGGAGAGAAAGATGTGGCGATCTGCTTCCATAAGATTTAGTCTTGGAAAGCCTGTGGGGCAGTCCTAGTCTGTCCTTTAGGGTGACTAAGAGTCAGAATCAACTCAACAGCAGTGAGTTTGTTTTGTTTTGTTATGATCTGGTTAAGGAACCCTGGCAATGCAATAGCTAAGTGCCTTACTGCTGAAAGGTTGGCGGTTCAAACCCATCTAGTGGGTCCAAGGAAGAAAAGGCCTGGAGATCTGCTTCCATAAAGATCAGCGCCAAGAAAACCCCATGGGCCAGTTCTACTCTGTCACATGGGATTGCTACAAATCAGGAGCAACTTGCAGGCACCTAACAACAACTAATCTGAAGGTTGGTGGTTTGAACTTTACCAGTGACTCCGAGGGAGAAACACCTGGCAATCTGCTCCCATAAAGATTTCAGCCTAGCAAACTCTACGGGGAAGTTCCGTTCTGTCAACATGGGGTCACTAAGAGTCAGACTGGACTGGACAGCTCCCATTAACAACATGATGTTATCTAAAACAAGCAGGACCCTGAGTGCTGACATTGCTGTTGTTTTGTTGAGTCAGTTCCGACTCATAGGGACCCTGTATAGGGTTTCCCGGGAACAGCTGGTGAGCTCAAACCAAGAACCTTGCAGTCCAACACATTAACTTAGAGCGCCACACCAGGACTGAGTGCTGATGGTTAGGGCTAAACCACAAGGGTCAGTGAACCTTGGACTTTGGTGCAGGTCTCACACTGGTCTCACTGCAGCGATGTGGGCAAGGATGGTGCATCAGTGCACATATCTGTTCGCAGTTCGGGTTGGAAGTGTCTGTTTCTTCCAGGGCAATGTAGTCTATATTTGACAGTGTGGTGTCAGAAGGCTGTGTACGGAGGGGACTGTGTGTATACATGAGCTGGGTCTGGAGCCTCTATCCGTTTTGGCTGAAAAGTGCCTATCCTCGCAGGATCGTGGTGGGCACCTATGTCTTTGGCGCGGGGATAAGAGGGAGTACCTTTGTATCTAGGTTGAAGGTGCCTGTGGAGGTGGGACGGTCCTGTGGTCTTCAGGTGCGTGTGCAGAAAGGGGTGTCGGTGGCTCTACCTGTCTGGGTCTGGGCAGGGAGCCCGTCTGTTCATCCGAGGTGACGCTATGTCCCTAGGAAATAAGCTCTTGCTGCAAAATTCTGAGGCCTGGCCCAGTCTCGCGCCCCGGATGTGGCAGCCGAGCGATCGGGCCCAGGCCCGCCCGCGCGCGACTGCTCTGGGCTGCTCCTAGTCTTCCAGATCTTCGGGGTCTGGAAGGGATATCTGGTTAGGATGATTCGTCACTCTAACCTGCGGCTGCCACCCCAGCTCGTGCAAATGCCTCACCCGTTCCACTTCCGTCCTCGAGCAGCTAGCCCCGCCCCTCCTTTGACCCTGCCCTCCGTCACTCTGCCCCCAGCTACGGACCCCGCCACCTGCTGGACATGAGAGGGCACAGGAGCTGGAGGGAGAACATAATGATCAATACGGCTCTTATGGAGGCCGCTCTGTCAGTTTCTGAGGTTCGATACTTAGGGTAATGATCTCCAGCCGAGACGGGTTAGGGATAGGTTGTCGCCCCGATATATCACCCCCATCAGGATGCTCAGTGGTACATGCCGAACATCCGGAGAGGCTGCCGAAGGAAGGGGTGTGGCTTTGTCATGAAGGCGCTTGGCCCCACCACTGAGGCTGAAGGGAGATTGGGAGCGAGTCCTAAATCGGAAATAAGTACCAAGTTCCGGCGCAAAGTAAATGGGCTGCGGGAACAGGACGAGGTCCTTGATTGTTTGTGCTCAGAGTCTCAAAACTGGGTTCTTAGGGACTCTGGGATGGTTGCCGGAGTTTCTCAAAGTCCGTGAATAAGAGGAGTCCTGGTGTGGCGCTGTGGGTTAATGCACCAAACTGCAAAGCCATTTGACCTGCAAGGTTGGCTATTCAAGCTCACCAGCTGCTCCTCGGAAACCCTATACAGGTTTGCTATGGGTCGGATGCAACTCAACGGCACTTAACAACAACAACGATCCCAGAATGTCAGCTTTACTCAAGGTTTTGAGAAAGAATAGAATACACTGGTATATTATGAAAGAGAGGGCAGAGGTGTCGGTATTAAAATATGAATCAGATTTCAAACACCGAGACACTTTTTGGAAGTGATGATGGCGAAACTGCTCGCTTAATTTGGACATGTCTTCAGCAGAGACAAATCCTTAGAAAAGGACATCATAGTTGGTAATGTAGAGGGTCAGCCAAAATAAGATGGATTGACAATGGCCACAAAAATGTGCTCCAGACACACGGATAATCAGGAAAATGGTGCAGAACCAGACACCGTTTGATTTTGTTGTACATGGAGTGGCTCCAGGGCCCCTCAGAATCCTGTGGCTCTAAAGGATAAACACTCCACTGCAAGGTCGGTTTAAACTGCAAGGTTTGCAGTTCAAATTCACCAGCCGCTCCTTCAAAACCCTATACAGGGTGACTATGAGTCGGAATTTACTGGACAGCTACAAAAACAATAATAACTGACCAGAAGCACATGTTCATTTTACAGAGTTAAATATCTTAGTAATACATATTGAATACAGTGCACACTTTTTTTTTCTTTTCCTTTTATTGCCCTGCACCTCTATCAAATCATAGCTTAAAATTCCGCATTAAGGGAATACTTTTCTAAATGTCAGCCCTTAAGGCCTTTGTGACATTTGACCAGTCACTTGTGTTTTCCAACATTAACTTACTAAATATTTAGTATGAATTGCTTAGAACACTGGTGACTGTAGAATAAGCACTGAGCTGCAAATCACTTGGTCATTGGTTCGAGCCTACCAGATCGTGGGAGAAGGATGGGGCTTTCTGCTCCCGTAGAGATTTACAGCCTTGGAAACCCTATACAATGTGCCTGTAAGTCAGACGACTCTGTGGCACTTATCAACAATTAAGTGCTTATGAGTCTGGTGGCGCAATGGTTAAGCGCACGACTGCTAAGTAAAAAGTCTTTAGTTCCAACTCACTTAGCTGCTCCTGGGGAGAAAAGACATGGGAATTTACTCTTGCAGAGATTACAGGCCTCAGAAACTATGAGGCAGTTCTACTCTGTCTTGTAGGGTCACTATGAGTCCGCAACCTAATAACAACATGAATTGGAATTGACTTGATGGGACAGAGCAACAACTACTTATCTATTGTTTATTTTTATTTACGATCAGCACTCGACTGTGAACCACAAGGTTCATAGTTTGAGTCCTCTAGCCACTCCAGGGGAGAAAGATGAGGCTTTCTGTTCCTGCAAATATTTTTAAAGCCTCTTAAACCCTATACAAAGGAGCTCTGGTAGTGTAGTGGTTGCGAATTGGGCTGTGAACCTTAAGGTCAGCGGTTCGAAACTACCAGCCTCTCCGCAGGAGAAAGATGAGGCTTTCTACTCCTGTAAGGGTTTACACCCTCGGAAACCCTGTACAGGGTCGCTATGGGTGGGAACCGACTCGACGGCACTTAACAACAACAAACCCTATACAGGATCGCTGTAAGTCGGAACCCACTCTATAGCACCTAACAACAACAACGATAATCTTTTATTGTATTTTCGGTGAGGGTTTACACAGCAGTTTGGGTTCTCAATAATTTCTGCACCAGTGACATAGGTTACTTTCTTAATTATGCGTGAATGAACCTTACTTCTGTTCTCTTTGTTCTGTTTTGTCTATTCTTTAGGAACTGTGCCTCCTCCTACCCTGGATACTATGTGGTAACAAGCCCAACAGGCTTGCAGTGAGAACGGTGGTAGAAGCACTTTGTAAACTGCTAAGCACAGCCCATCTGCCACTTTTTCACTTCAGCCCCCACAATCCTTCGGGCAACTCCAGGCGTGCTTCGCGTCGGCCCGCTAGTGTTCACAAACTCAGCGCACGCGCAAGGTCGCCCTTCGCTACATCCGGGCTTCCGCAGGTCGGTGGCGGCTTGGTTGCCATAGCAGCGGGCCGGCGGAGCAGCGGGCAGTCGGGGAGGCTGCTGGCGGCCTGGGCGGCCCGCGCCCGCTGCGCAAAAGGGCTGTCGCCATGTCGCTGGGCACCGGGGAGCTGGCCTCGGAGACGGTAAGGACGCGCGATGGGCCTCCTCACATCCCTCGCGCCCTAGCTCACCCGGGCCTGGTCGCAGATGCCCCCAAATGACAGCTGCCAGTATTGTTAGCGCATAAGCTCCCGTTCAGAGCTCCTGGCTCCCCACTCTCCCAGCCCCTTGCCCGCCCTTCACAGTTCCCTGCCTCCAGGAAGCCCTCCCGCCGGCGTTGTGAGGCCGGGTCGCTGCTGTAGTAGCCCGGAGTAAGTTCGCGCGCACCCCGGAGACACCTCCCCCCCTCCCCCCCCTTTGCTCCCTGGGGCTTCGAGAAGTCGTCCTGGAGTCAGTGATGCCGGGCTTCCGTTCCTATCTTGACCAAGGATTTTTGGCGCCTCCCAGCGGCTCTGCGGGAGAAAGACCCGGCGATCAGCTTTCTATAAAGATAGTTGTGAGTTGTC